TCTCTAAATTTCAGAGACGTTTTCTTTGTGTTTTGAGCTCTAATCTTGTGTTCTTCCCTGCAAATTTGTTGGTAGAACTAACCTGCAGAATAATAACTATTCTGTTCGATGTCAGATGGTGCATAAAATTCAGTCCCGTTCTGGTCCCCTGTACATGCGGCTTGCTGAAGTCCCTAACATGCGCTCAGTGCTGGGGAAAGATTGGGCACCTATGGCCTTCTGCATTTCATTCAAGGTTAGATATCTGCCCGTGGAGGGTTTTCATTTTGACTTGTACTTGAGTAGTATACAGCTTGTGATAAAACAACTGGGGAGAACTAGGTGGTTCATATATTTCTGTATGTGCAACTTTTGCACAGTCCCTTATCCGTTAATAACTTGTTGTGAAACAATCAAAATTTCTCTTGTTAGAAGAGATATTAATATACCTGGATAGCTGTTAGCAATATTGGAAATACAAGAATTATGTATTATTTGAATATCACTTGATGAAACCAACCACTGGAATGAATAATTCTAATAATCTATTTTCTCACACTTCTAAATGGTGTAGAGAAGCCTAATATTTATAGGGAATACATAGGGAACGTTCAAACCCTTTTGGTAGAGTTGATGAAGTGGGATGCAAAAAAATCGAGTCCAAAACGAAATAGGAGAAGAAAACGCGGAAAAAGGAAACAGAACAGGTAGCCTTGCGGCACCCACCTCCCTAACGCCGCAGCGCACATGCCCGGTGTTGCAGAGCCGGGCAATCTACTCGAAAAATAACTTTTTTTGGCTCCAAATTGTTTTCTCTACCTTCAACTCTTTTTCAAATTCAATACCAATTTTCAACCCCCAATAGGCTTTCAAAATAGAACTTCAACTTAACATATGATTCCAATAGCATTTCAAATTGAATTCTTCTTGACATGCACTTCAATTAAAATTTTTTAATTACTTCAACAAGGAATTCGAATCACACCCAAATTCTAACACATTAATAAACAAAATTTATGTTGGAGACTTCTGAGTACCATCCCCCTCCCCAACTCTCGCAAATAAAATCCCTCTAGGCCAAGTTTATAAAACGATACAGAGATGAGGAGAACTGCCATCTAACCTTTCTTGTAAGCAATTTTTATGCTAAGCGAATCTTTACAAGAAGAGAGCTCTTTTACTGCATACATGGGCGAACTCAGGACTATGGTTCGGGGAGGGAGGGGGGGGTGGGTGGGTTACGTAAAAATAATTTTAAATTAGACAATAATGATAATATTCAAAATGTAAAACTTTTTTTACAATTGTTCCTCACGGCTTCTCATACTTTGAAAACGTCGTATAATAGTCTCGTTATTAATTTTATTAACTACATCTTTTTCAACGTACACAACTAAACTATGATTCATCAATTGGTCTCCAACTAAACCCTAGAATTTTGAGATATTCGTTTAAAATATCTTAACATATTTTCCTACAAATCAAACAAAGAATGCATAAATANATCAATGCGTTGTTTCTTTGCGTCAGCATTTTCTTCAATAGAATTTTGAGATATTCGTGTAAAATATCTCAACATATCTTGCTACAAATCAAACAAAGAATGCATAAATATACCAACAGTAAAATGACAGTTTCTTTCAAGTTAATTGTTCGGATGCATACGGCAATTTTTGATCCTTGTGGTGTTCCAGGTTCAACTAGAACCTGTTACCAATAGAAATTCGAATTTGGATATGAAAATGGAATGCAAAAAATTCACAAGTTGACCTTCCTTCACAAGAATAATCGTGCTATAATGCATTCAATTTTTACCATGAGAATCATCAAAGAGAACTTCAACAATATACTGATACAATAATAGTTCCTAACTCTTACTATGTTTACATTAATGCTTCGAACAAGTTGGCAAGATCAAACATCATGTATTATACATTGTTATATAAGTCTAAATAGAAAATACACTTGACTCTTTTGGATCGTGAACAGGATAGACTAACATGTGCACAAATGAGGGGAAAGTCGAGACCGTAAAGACGTTTATGAAACCACAAAAAGTTTTTCAAGTAACAAAGGAGCTCAAAATCAGACACCATAATCATTTAATTTGATTAAAATAATTGCTTACCTCAAGCTATGCAATGAAATAGAACATTAATCAAAGTCATAAGTCATAACTCTACCATCATTTCATAATTATAATATCAATGTTGTCTCTAATTAAGGATAAACACTCATGATTGAGAAAGTAGGAGCAGAATGAGCGTGATCAGAAGAAAATCACAATTGTCTTTTGACACACAACATATTCTTTAAAAGAAAATAAAGACTTAACAAAAACTGGTATTGAGGGTTGTAAGAGGTTACTCTTATTTCCTAAACCTCGGGAAAGGTCCCTACAATTAGGCCAAACCTCAAAAGAGATAATGGTAATTTCTCGACATTATAAATAGAAAAGGATCACAAGTATGAAAATTTAGGTTAGTCTTACAGTGTGCTAATTCACTAAAGGTTTGATAAAATGATCATGTCACCCAGATTCTGTGAATGTTAAACATAATACAGCAAGGGAGAATAACTTTGGGGATTGACAGGTTAAAAGAGAGGCTCCTACATGTCAAAAAATTGTCGTATGCATCCAAACAATTAACTACTTTCTTAACATGGAATCTTCCCTACTTCCTAGACCACGCTTTATATATGATTCTTGACAGGTTATTTTCGAGAATGTTTGCAAAAAGCAGAGGCAGAGGCAGGGAGGCTCCTGTTGATCGAACAGGCCATAAATTAATCTATAGTTTCTTTTCT